ACCGGCACCGGGCAGAGACACCGGGACCGGGACCGGACACCGGGCAGAGACACCGGGACCGGGACCGGGACCGGACACCGGGCAGAGACCGGACACCGGCACCGGGCAGAGACACCGGGACCGGGACCGGACACCGGGCAGAGACCGGACACCGGCACCGGGCAGAGACATCGGGACCGGGACCGGACACCGGCACCGGCACCGGCACAGACACCGGCACCGGCACGGGCTGTCCCAGCCCAAGAACCAAACCCAGTCTCCGGCCGGAGCGCCGTTGACGGGGGCAGAGCCCGCAGCTCCGGGCTCAGCCTCGCACCGGCTGGCGCGGCGCGACCCTCGGGTCCGCATCGGCACCGGCCTGGACATGGGCTGGTCTCTGTAAAAAGTAAATCTACAGAGTCATAAAGAAAAAGGGGGAGAGAGGGGAGAAAATAATACGGGAAAAAAGGAAAAAGAAAGGGGAGGAAAAAGAGGGCGAAAGGGGGAAAAGAAAGGCGAGGAGAAAGGGGAAAGAAAAGAAAGGAAAAAATCAGGGAAAAATAAAGGGAAAAAAAGAAAAAGGAGAAAAGAGAAAAAATACAATATAAAGAAAATTTTAAAAATAAAGAAAAAATGAAAGAAAAAAGGAAGGAAAGAAAAGTCAGAGTGCAGTCACACCAAGTCCACTTGTTGGAAAATATACTAAGTTTAAAAATTTTTATATAACTTTAGTCAGGGGTTTCATTTGCCCTTGCCCGGAGGAAAGGCATTTTAAGTTGCTTTTCAAAGGATTGTTTCAGCACTCACTCGTGATGAACTTAACATCTCAACAGACTGGAGTAGCACAGAAGATACACTAAAGATAACAACCATTAACGACCATCAGCAGCAAACATCACCCCTGGCGTGTTCACCAACACCTGGTCCAGAAAAGACCCTAAAACAACCGAGGAATGAGGATCGCATTACCATGGGAGGGGAAGAAATCTGTAACCAAAAGAAACCAAGTACTAAAACCAGTTTATCTTGGGACCAATGAACATTGAACCAACGGATTTCTATGGGTTTTGACTATATAAGTATCTGAAAAATCCAGTAAGGCGCCATGTGTCATGAAATGATTTTCTCTGCACACCTGGGTATGTGTGGATGAAATTATTTCTGCTGAACATCCTGGCCAGAATAAAGTAATGCCTTGATTCACTAAAAATGTTGGAGAGATTTTGTTTTTCCCAGTTTTGGTGACACACTCTTTTTCTCATAACTGGCATAAGAACCAGCTCCAAGAGCTCAAGAGAAATAAATGACAGCCAAATAGCCTATAGGATTCTGATTCATTTATTGAATACATGACAGGTAAGACAGACTGTGTAAAATCACATGTATTATTTGTACTTTAAAAAAATTACAATAAATTACTGAATAATTAGTAAAAGCAATTTTACTAATGGCTGCTCTCCAGTGATACAGAACAGAGGAGGCAGAGAAATAAGAAGTATGTACCAGCTGTGAATACAGACCAAAAATGTCACAAAGATGAATTAACACTGAGTAGCACACCAAGTAGTGTTAAATGGGAACATCCACATGTGTCCTTCCTACCTTTAGATCCCAAATGCCAACCAAAAGCTGGATCAAACCTTGCCTTCAGTGCGGGGTCTGCTCTGCCTGAGCAGCAGTGTCTCTTGCCTTGCCCCTGCAAGGCCACTGCTTTTGTGCTGAGATGAGTTTATCTGTAGTAACAGCATTACTTCTCCTCCCTTGGAAAACACACCCTGCTACCAGAAGGGCAACTCGTAGTTTCCTCTGGTTTTAACTGATTTAAAAGAGCACTCAGTCTCCCAGTTATTTTGTCTCTAACTGGAATGAGCTCTGGTATTGAGGTTTCCCAT